AGGATGTGATAGTGGCATCATTGTTAATGACATATAGATGTTAAATCCAGCACATCACAGTGTAGCTCTCTTTCATTTAATCAAAAACCTGGCCAGCATTGCTTGCCTTGTTAGGGAGTAAACTAGTGGCCAGAGCACTTCTTGGGTCATTTGGGTCATTGATTCTTGCGCTGTTTTTCACAGAGTTAAAAAGGAATCAAGCGAAAGAGAGAGTGAGGCCCTCTGGTCTTGTGCCTAAGAAGTCAGGTTCAGACCCGTCTTTCTAAGCAGTTCCCATCTTAGCACGTAGACTTTGTGGATCGCTCACCTAAGAACACTTACTTCCCATGCAAGTTGTAACTTCAAATTGACCCACATCTTTCCTTTCACGTAAATCTGGAGCAGCAAACTTAAAATTATGTCACCTTGAATTCCCAGTGATAAATGTTATTAGAAAGCTTCTGCTTTCAAGCTGCATCTCAAAATGGCTTTGTCTAATTTGGAGCTTTTCATTCCCTCATAAAAGATGCAACACTGAACAAACACATGTCAGGATTCAGATGGAAAATTTTAAACAGGCAGTGGAGATTTCGTTTTGATTTGGAGTGGAAAAGGTAGACAAAGCGGTAGAATAGTGCAGCTGTCAATAATTTCGTGGTCTGTCTCCCTTTGTTCCTTTAACTTAGATTAAAGGAGAGATTAGTCTTTATTCCTGTCTGCAGTTTAAGAAATGTTGTCCGTGAATTTCTAAGCTTCAGACAAAACTGCGTTTTCTTTCCAGTGGCTGCACGGAGCCCACAGATGCAAAGAACATCTGGTATGCTTTGCATTGGTGCTTGCTTGGAAGTGCTTTTCGACTACTTGAAGAAACCAAAGCTGGTTTAAAACTGAACCTTGTTAACCTGTGCGTGGCTTCTTCAGGAACTCGTATGAGCCTTGTGAGAATGAATACAATTCTTAGATGACAAATCACTTCATTAGATATAAGGTCCACGTGCGGCTGTTTGTGGTGCAGTCCCTGTGCTGACAGCTGGAGCAATCCAAAGTTCAGTGTACGGTGTTCACCTTTGTTACTGGTCTTGGAGCAATAGTCTGGGATGTTGTGCAAAGCTAGTATAGGACTGAAATGGTCAGACAGCCTCTTTGATAAACCAAGAATATCTACTCAAAAGTTGAACACCAGCATAGGTTTTGCTGGGGGAACTATTGCCCAAACTAGTTGAAAATTGAAACACGTGCTGTTCCAAGATCCAGTTTAGCCTGTTTTGGAGCAAGTGACTAGAAGCAGCGCTTCCAGATAAAAACTTAGGCTTGGACAGCTTCATATCTCAGATTTTTAAATACAGTGTTAAATGTTAAATTTATTTTTCCTCGCCTGCTGTTGTTTTAGGGTGTCTGCAAAGAGAAATCAAGTCTTCATTTGAGAACCAAAACAGGGCTAGGGGATGCAGAAATCCTGAGTGCAGGAATTGGAAAGGTATTTTTACTGGCTGAAGAGACTTTGATTTTGCCAATTCTCAAGCTACCTGGTTCATTTGTGAATAAAGATGAATGCCAGGCTGGAACAAGATGTCAAATTCGTCAAGGCGGCCAGATTTTTAACTGGATTCTGAAAGAAAGTGAGGATCTGCAGGTGGTGGGTAGCAACATTTTGCATGCATTGTAGCTTAGAGAAGGGCATACTTTATACAAGGTAGAGTTGTAAGGTAAATGAGGACTTTATAGAGGGGAAAAAGGCAGTGCATAAATGTGGGGGTATAGATGTGGAGATATGTAGGCAAATATGTAGTCTTGATAACTGTTTGGTCTCGGCGCTAAAATATAAAAAAAGGCTCTGAAACAAAGTGTTTTAAGATGTGAAAGCAATGATAGGAAGAAAAGCATTCTTCAAGGAACAGAGTTTTCCTTCATGTAGGGCTCGTAGCTACGTGTAGCCAAGTAACACGTAGCAGATGTGTTTTAATGGGTTTTGACACTTCCCTGACTTCCCTTTTGTTGTTGCGAGATGCCAAATAGGAGCGGAAGGAGAATTTTTTTAAAGAAATATGTGACTATGAAATAGCGAATTTGGGAGTACAGCAAAAGAAAACCACCGCAAGTTTGTGGTAGGGTCTCGAATAATCAGTTTGGTGTACGTACCTATGCTAATAGCATCTCTGTTTGCAATCTCTTCAGTATGTCTATCGTGTCATGGTGCAATCAATTATTTAGAACAGGAGACAGTCTAAATAGGTAGGCAGACAAAAGGAAAGAAGGACTGTGGGTAGGGCTTGCAGAGTAAATTGCATCTGGTCGTGGAAGAACTCTGTGGGAGTATGTCTAGGATTGCAGTAACGTCTCTACCTCAGAATCATGTTCTTGAAGCACGTTTTCTCCCCAGGGTTCTCTATGCTGGCACCTTCCTGGATGCTTCTCCAAGTGCAACAAAATCTGATAGGCAAAATATCTTTTTAAGACTGTTGCACCAGTATTTGTATAAAAATGAATAATAGACTAGGGCTTATAGCAAGACCCCAGACCTGTATATTCTATATTAATATAAAATACTGTACTTCATCTCAGTGTAAAAGTATCTGAACGGAAGCTTTAAATCTTGAAGTAGATCGTTCATACTGAGATCTCTGAGCTGCTGCTTTAGCAACCCTGCAACTAAGGTGAAGCCTTTTTTTTAAATAATCATAATTTAATATTTGCCTTTTAGTAAAGGACTAAAGAATGGCACACATTTCTAAGTTACATTCGCAGAGCTGGACTTTGAGATGCTGTCACGTCCAAAGGCTGGTTTTCACTAGTTGGCATTCTGTTGAGTGCTTGGACCTGGCTTGATGGTTTCTCTGTGACTCCTGAATACTTCTGTAGTAAAAGTGCTGGAATGTTAACATTTACATTCAATTTTAGAAATGAAAAAAAAAAAATTCGGTATAATAGCATCTGACATTACAATATATTTGCAGAAATTTTGCATCCATTAATTTTAATGCAAACTGATACATTCTAAAAGCATTCATACTTTCAACTAAGTTTATTATTGAGATGTAAGGGTGTTCAGGGCCTGCCACTGATAAATATAATGTAATTCTCTTTTTACTAGCAATAATTGGGCTCAAGCTGGTGGACCAAGAGGTGGCATCTCAGCAGGCGCTGTAAAACTCCATAAAGCACTAAATGCCGGGTAGAAGGGAAGGGGAACAGCATGCTTCTCTCACTCTGGTTAGCCAGAATTTTGAAAACGCATTATGCAAGTAGCTAGTAGGGTTTATGGAAATATTTGTTTTAAACACTTCAGAGAAAGGGAAAACTGGGGACAAAATACTGTTGGTGGGGAGGTTAAGTAGCAATTTATAATCGCTCTTAAGGATTTACTGATTGCGTGTGGTCTTTGTAAGAACTGCTTATAGCTCCCGTGTTCTTCATTCAGAACATCAAAAACTGGATCACTTGAATGACAGCTGTTCTGGAGTGAAGTGAGACTTTTTGTTTGAAGAAGCTCTATGTTATGTTGCAAATGATGGCCGTCACTACCTCTTACACTGTTTCACGGGGAGTGACTGAGCATGCAAAACGCATAGATTAAATATCTTGGTATAGGATTGATTTCAGTCTCTGAATCCTGTTTTTCAAATAAACATCTAATTCAGAATACAAATAGGAAAAAGAGAGTTCGCAAGCCCTGTTGACTTTGTTTCTCTTCAGCATAAATGTAGTCCCTGATTCCAGAGGTAGTTACTGTGAATGCCGTTCTGGAGCTAAATGTCTGAAAGGACGAGTATAGAGATGCTGTTAATCATTACGGTTGTCTATACGGCCAGATTTGTACAGTGCAAGCTTCCAGCTGATAGTTCTTTCTCTGATGTGTACTTCTTGTGAAATTCTGCTTTTAAATCAGTTGGTTTATTTCCAGAGAGACAGGGGAATTGTCTTTGGCATAGAAGACACCCTTCTGTTCTCAGGTTTGCCTGTAAGCAACTTACAAAGCCAAGCGCTCTGGGGTGGAGAGACGACAGCAGTTCTGGTGAGGACGTAGTTTCTTCTAATCCATATGGTACTCAGGTTCCCTGCCTCAGGAGTTCTTCCTGCTGCATTCAGCCTCTGTCTCAACCCTGAAGTCAATGCCCGGCAAGAGCAGATAGGTGTGGTGGCTGGAGCAAGCGGCCTGGGAGGAAACCAGCCTCTCTGAATGATTTCCTGTGGCTCGTCCTGGTGCAGAAGAGGTCTGAGGTGCTACAGCAGGCAATAGAGGGGGTGAAGGCCAGTGTGTTGCCACTTGCTTGTGTTCATTCTTGCCCATGGGTGCTGCCTTTTCTTCAGGCTGACGGCCACTGTCGTCTTCCGAGAGGTAAGCCAGAGAAGGGTTCTGGCCTTCTCATCTTCAAGTAGTGACCACTCTTTGTAACGCCTCGGGCGTTTCCCTGTTGCTTAGCTGCTGCAGTTAGTGCAGAAAATTTTAAAGTGGTTTTGTTTTGTGCTTTTTTAAATTGAGCTGAATTAAGGTATTTGTTTTTATAACAGTATGCTTGAAGTTCTTTAGATTAATTAAAATTTGGGAAAGCCAGTTACCAACCTCATCCTGAAGGTTGTTGGTTTGCAAATCAACTTGCAAATCAATTTGTAATAATATTTGACAGTCATTGCTCAGAATTTTACTAGCGTATTTGGGCTGCTTTACATCAGTCAAAAAGCACAAAGGCAGTAGTTGCCTTACATTCTTAACGTGAAGATTTGTGCCGTTTTGAAGAACAATACAGGATAGGTATATGGGTGATCTGCTGCCCAAAATAAATGAGGTTATTTTCACAGAAGAAAGAAATGCGTCAGAAGACGCACTGTCTGTCAAGTACGTAGAAAGTTGTGGTGGTTCTGTAAGTGAAGTGAAATTATTAATTAGCACTCTTAAGTTCTACTTATTGATAAAAGTCAATGGATTTCTAATTAAGATGTCTATACAATTTGCTTCTATTCCTGCCTGACTTGTAAATACTCTGTTTTGCTTAATAGAAGTGCATTTCTCTTGAATTCCAGCCTCCAGTCCCTTTGGAATTTACATCAACTGACTTGCAACAAATGACAGGGATTTTCCCAGATATCCCTTCAAAGCTATTTTCCTGGTTCTGCTTCTCTCAGCAGACTTTACCTCCTAGTGATACTTAAGATTGAATTGCAGTGCTGTTGAATGTCGAACAGCTATGGCGCTGAAACTGCAGAAGTTTAATGTATGGCCTTGGCAGACTATGTAAAGAACTGAGATTGGTCACCATAAACAAAGAACTTGAAGGTATCGATTTTGTCTTTTTGTTTTCAGAGGGTCCATATGGAATATTTGCTGGCAGAGATGCCTCCAGGGGACTAGCAACTTTCTGTCTAGATAAAGATGCACTCAGAGATGAATATGATGACCTATCGGACTTAAATGCTGTACAGATGGAAAGTGTAAGAGAGTGGGAAATGCAATTTAAAGGTAAATTCTCAAATTAGCAGCACATCTTTAGCATAAGGAAATGCTTTTAATTAAAATGACTGATTTGGGCTTGGGGCAGCTTTTGAAGAGATGTTGACGGTAACATTAATAATGCAATGTGGTTTTCTTAGGAAAAGACCAGGGATTTCAGGTTTTTCTTACACGGGGAGGATTCTGCTAGATCCCACTACAGCTTTTTCAACCTTTTCGTTTATACAAGAAAGCTGTTCTCTTCTCAGCTCTTCAGCGCAGAATTTCACTCTCGAATCTCAGTGTAGCTTAGCTGATGGACTTCCTGCTCACAGGCTGTTGGCTTTGGACGCCATGGAATTATCATTAGGACCAAGAGTTGTTTTGGCACGAAGGGTTGAACAAGTTTGTCTGGAAATAATTTCTCAAAAGTATGGAAATAGGCCTCTGGAGGGTGGGGGAGTCATTTTTCACATTAACCAAAATCAAAACAGGCTGAGGGAATTTGTGCCGGTTTTAGTAGCAGCGTTTTCAGCCCTTGTGTGATAAAGCTTACCTGATCAGGTACGGGAGAATTGAAACAAAGTACCGGTAGTAGAGAAGGTAGTGAGCAGCAATGGTAGCAAGATTGTTTTAGGAGAGCTGAGCTTGCTGATAAGTTGCCATCGATTTCAGCGATTCAGGTTCAGAACCTTACTGTGCAGGAGAAAAAGTGAATTTGCAGCAGTGCAGGCTAACTGGCAAATGCAGCTGTATTTGATTGTAATGGAATCATAAATCTTTTTCAGAAAAATACGACTACGTAGGTAGACTCCTAAAACCAGGGGAAGAACCATCAGAATACACAGATGAGGAAGATACCAAGGATCACACTAAACAGGAATGAACTTTGTAAACAACCAAAGTCAGGGGCCTTCGGAACTGCAACCTCTTATTCCCCATCACAGAATGTCCTGCATCTTTGGGTACAGTTCATCTGCTGCGAAAAACATTCAACAGGTTTTGTACAAGGAAAATAATATACTCACAAATGAAGATTTGAATACTAGACATTATTTGTGCTGCCAAACTTTTTGTTGCAGTTTATTTGTAATGTCTGGTTAGGCTTCGTTAGTGAAGAGGGGCCAGGGATTTAAAGGCAAAAACGCTATTCCTTTTTATCAGTAAGCTGAAGCCTTCAAATAAATAGTATATACTACAAGCTCTCTAAAAGACGTGAGTCTTCAAGCTCAGTGGAAGGTTTGAATTTTGTTTCGTGTGTGTCTTCTCCTTCAGCATTAAAGCCAGATGTACTCATGTACATCAGTATCAGTAGGTTAGACTACTGAAACTGGTGTTAAAATGTGAATTTCCAATTTTGTTTTGTACGTGGGCGTTTAGTAGCCCTGGCAGAATACTTCAGTTCTCTAAGAGAAGTCCATCTAGATTAGGATGGGGGTAAAATTCATCCTTTTCTCAAAAGGATTGGGTAAAACTGTTTCCTCTGCAACAACTATTATCTGAAGCCTGCCTCTCCCCCCTTTTCCCATCCTCTAAATCAAATCAAATCAAATATTAATTGTGCCTTATTTCGCTTACATAGACTTGAATTGTTTTAAGGGACAGCCCCAAAATTGTGGTTTCATAGTCACTACAAGCAGCATTGAGACTGAAGTCAGAATGTTCTGTTGACTGGAAAACCTTGATGTCATTCTGTGTATAGAATGTAAAAGAGGAATACTCAGTGTTACTGCCATATGTTAATACTACATATACTTAAATTAGCATTGTGATGGCCAAACGCATACTCCCATGCTTCTTTTTAAGTAATTACAAACACACAAAAAAGTCACCCTTCCTCCTCTTCCAGAAGCTGCCTAACTTTTGGGAGCGTAGCCTTCACACCCCGTAGAGTGAAGGGGCGTGCGCGCGTGTGTATGTGTGCGTGTCTGTCTGAATGCAAGACTTGGGAGGGTTTGTTTCTGCAGATATTGTAAATACGAGTACCATTTTAATAAAGCATGTACAATACCAAATGTGCTGTCAGACTTTATGTAGAAGCTGTTCAGCGGAGCTGGAATACGATGGAATACAAAGTAAGAGGAAGAAGTCTTGGATGGAAAACACCCCCCGCTATTAATGCCGTTCCTTGTCCGCGTGGCGTTATTTTTCCTTTCAAGTCTCGGCTTTTGAAGAATCTTGAAGACTTACTCAGGTAAGCTGTATTGAAGAGAATAAACCTATGGCAGTGCCTTTACGGTGGAAAAACATAAGCGATGTAGATAAAGGAGCAGCATTTTAGGAAATCACGTAACGTACAGTAAAAGGAGTACGTCTCGTGGCACTAATAGGACAAGGACGCTGGAGATCTAGACATGGGTGTCACTCAACATATTGTAGAAATTTCACCGTCTGTTCTGCTAAATTTGTAACGGTGACACTGTTAAGTTCCGGACTTGCGGCTTTATGGCTTTCATCCGTACCTCTGTTTGCAGACTTCACCTGTGATTAGCCTACCCCAACAGATTTCTATGTATACGTTCTGTTGAACTGGAAATTGGGAAATTCCAGGGACTACCTCCTTTTTGTTACTGTTTGACTGGGAGAGATTTATATTGATGTAAATGAAACAAATAACCAAAAACCCTCCGTTGAATCACGTGTAACTTACGTGTCCTAGAAGGCAGGTTGAATTCTCTTCCTTGCATAGCCAAGCTTGGAACAGAATAGTTTTATCCCAGAAGAAGTAACAGAAGTGGAGCCATTTCTCCATAGGCGTTAGGTTACACTTGCCGTTCTTGTAGAGGCTGAACAATCCGGTTAGCTGTGCGGCTGTTCAGCCACTGCCTGTAATTCCGTAAAGCACTGGTTTCTGCTTAGGTGCCATCCTTACAAGCTGAGCATCGGTGCAGCGTCCAGACTTGGGTTTGCACGTTAGTAATGTAAGTGTCTGCTAATCAGCTAACGCTGCTGAAATGTTGGGCGTGTTAGTGTGACTAACCACAAAAATACACGTTTTAGATGGAACAATGGAAGCTACCAAGGGATAAAAGGAAAGCTTTCGTGCATAGGACAGGAGCTAGGAGTACCTAAGCACCAGTTCTTTATCTGGATGCTTCACAAGGGAATCTTTTTTTTTTTTTTTTTTTCTTTTGACAATCTTGCTGTAAAAGCTTTTTACACTACACTTCACTTAAAGCGTGCCTTTCACTTCTAGCTTTTGCGCCAGCTGTTGAACCTCACGGCACCAAGATGCGTACAGCTGTGGAGCAGGAAAAGGCGGCTTACCCAACTAGCAGATAGGACAACCAGATAAATAGGTTTTTTTCCCAGGCTTCCACACAAAAATGCACGTGCTACAGCGTCTACCGTACAAAGTCACGGCTGGCGGTTCTTAACGCTTGCCGTGAGTTACTCTGCTCTTTACTCCTTGGCGCCATGAGTACTGGTACAGCTGGCGTAGCTGTAGCGTTGGCTGTGTATCGTGCTTGTAGCTGTTTCGTGTAGAAACTTCCTACTGGAGAAAGACGGGTAGTTTGCACATGCCCTGACTTCCTAACCCACGTGCAGCCTTTCCCTTTTCCTTTCCCTGGCTGTAAGAAATGCAGTGAAGCTTAATCACAGTGAAGTTACAAGCAGTTTTGTTGTTTGGGGGTTTTTTTTTAATTGTTTTAAAAGAACAATGCTCAAATTTTTACTCTTATGATTTAAGACTGGTTAAACAGCAAGGTGGGGAAAGGATGAGTTTTGCTTTGAAGCAACTTAATGGTAACTGAAGAATACAAAACTGATCCCATGGCAGCAGTATGTTGCATAGACGTAATCCTGTGTTTTGATGTCTAGTGGATCTAAATTAACCTCGTTTATCTCACTTACAAAGTCACTAGTGATTTAAAGCGACAACTGAAAAAAAAGTGCTTTAAATCACACTGTAGCTTTCATTTTCATAACAAGTTGACACAAAGAATAATTTTGAATAACATCAGAAATATCAAAACTTCAGTGCAATTAATATAATAATTTTTATGGAGGCGTTCATCCTTGTACCATTTGTGTCCATCACTTGGTCAAAATTCACCGTTAACTAAAATGACAGGCAGGTTGATACTGACAATGCGTTCAGTTTTGTTTAAGCAACGTAAGGGACTTGAAGGGAGTATTTCTCATCATCTTTAGAAACAAAATACATTTCCAGGTTAGCCTAGGAAAACAAGTCATAAACTAGTTTGAGTAGTCATTTGTTTTGACACTTCTGCCTCATTTGTACACCGCTTCCCCAAAAATGCTTTATTATGGCAGGAAATCTATTTTTAAGACTTCTGATTTTTTTTTTTTTTTTTTTTGAAAAAAGGTACCATGTTGTTACTTGAGCTGAACATCTTGAATTTCCACTAGGGCCTACAGAAGTATCCTTTCACGTGCTTGTACTTGTTTTTATCTTTTTATTGAGCTACATCTACTTTTCCTTGGCTAAGGTTTAAATTTTCTATCCTTCAGAGTCAGACACAGCATGTAAAACAGTTTGGCACTCTGCTTCTGATCTTGTTTCTCTTTAAATATCTTAGTTCTAAGCTATTTTCTAATGTGTGGGGTTTTTTTTTAAGTTTGGTTTTACTATCTTCATTGTAAAGGTCAAGGAATAGTTAAACCTTACTTACACTTTGAGTCCCTTTGATAATTGTTTTCTCTACAATAAAAGTTTGTGGGGCTTTATTTCCTCCAGGAAACACAGGCGTTGTTGTGTAGAATAGCGCAAAATACTGACCAAGACCTAGTGCTTTGAACGTAACGGTCTTCCTGGCTCCGCTTTGGGGGTGGTTTTATTTTTTTAGGACAAAGCTGTGTAGTTTTTCATGAAGTCTAACTCACTAATTCAGCAACTCTGTACTGAGGTGTGGCTGAAGTTCATTTATTGAGCTCGGAGCGTGTTTGTGATGGAGCCCCGGGGCCTTGGAGTCCTTCCTGCAGTCTTGGTTCTCTCCCGTTTTCACGTTGCAGACGGCCGTGCAGGCTGTGGGGAAGAACCGTGCCACCGCTGTCCTCCGACTGCTCTTTCAGGCGTGAAGGGAATGATGCAATTGCAGCTGTACAGTTGGCTATTCACTCCTTTTCCTACTTAACACGAGTAATAATCTAATCTGGCCTTGAAGGCTTACTTAAACATGGAAACCAAATAAATAATTAAGTATGAATGTTACCGGCAAATCCTTCCGCTGGCTTCTAATTTATGGTTAAAGGTGACTGGTTACAGATTGGGTTTTAAGCGCTTGCTTTTGATAGGTTGGTTCAAATGCAGGTGAAGGGTTGTTTACCTAAAAACTTTAAAAAAACCCAAACAACAAACCCAAAGTGTTCCTCGCCCTTCCTCTTTGGGGATTCTCGTGGGTTTGTGTATTTTTTTCCTGGACCAGGAGGCAGCAAGTTTAACGTGTTTCATAGAGGTCTAGGCTGGCACTGCAACCTTCCTGCAAAATTCATGAGCAAAGCAATTTGTCCCCGTTCTGCTAACAACATTTACCAGCGGTTTTTTTTGTGACAATCATATTTTACCAACCTGTCAAGTTTTCTAGGTAACTTGGCAAAGCCTACAAGCGTACACTCTGTAAGCGTCTAAAAATAAAGTCTTTTGGAGGTGCGAAGTGCCAAGGGCAAGTCTGGATTTGTCACTTGACCACAAGCTTTCAGTTACTGTTTGTATACAAACTCCTTTTCTCTTACCTGACTCCAGCCCCCCTTTCACAGATTTCACAGGGTGGAATCACCGTCTCTTGCTTTTACACATTTGAAAGCATGATTTATTCTTTTTTTACTAGAAAGAAACCTCAACTAATCAGCTTTGAAGGATGAGCCAAGGCACTACCTTAGAAGTGGTAACAGAGATCATAACATTTACTTTAAAATGTTATAATGTTGTCATTTAAGTTGTACTCTGAAGTTTCTTGTTACTTAGGCCATACAGCAACACTACCTTAAACAAGTTAAAAGCTCTAAATCCAGTTTGGGGTTGGTCTGTGTGCTGCATTTTCCTAGGGAAGGTTGTGGAGGTGTAAGTTGCAAAGGGAACTGCATTCCTCCCTGCCAAAAAAAAAAAATTAGGCTGAAGACAGCAGAGAAGGAAGCTTTTAAGATGACGAGTGGAGCCTAGCATCGCTGTGGGATTCGTCAGTAAAAGAACATCGGCTAACGCTCAGTCTCTTCCTCCATCTGGAGCCGAGGGAGTGTAGTTTGTCACCTCAGTGCCGCGGCGATGCCTGAAGCGGCGTCGGCAGGGCAGGGGCTGCTGTGAATACAAACTGGCTTCTGCTCAGTCTCATGCTTTATCTCCCACAGAAACCCAAGTCCCTGTTCAACTCCAGGAGCAGCAGTCATGCAGTCAGCCTACTGCTGCTCCTCATAGGAAAACGTCACCTGGTCTCCCTCAGGAACAAGAGCCATCTTGAGTCCTCCTTCCCTTTTAAAAAGCCTTGAGAATCCAGTAATTTGAGCATGACAAAAGAAAAATCTGACCGAGTTTAGGCAGGGTAACGTTTTGAAATACTTGTACAGTCATTTCTCAGCAGAAGAAATGAAGGCAAACCTAGACAAAGTTCTTTAATAAGCACACGGGAGAATTTTTAGACAGGGAAAGGTTTAAGACTTGCTAAGTGTTCAGCAATAGACTACTGTTAGAATACAACCAGTCTTAAGAAAGGCAAATCGAAGGTTGGCTTAAATGGACCTAAAAGGCATCAGAAAGGATGTCGGACAAATACATGCACGTTCAAAGACAAATTTACGGCTCTGCAACAGTCGTTAAAAGGTGATTAATCACTTTAAGCCATACAGAGAAACAAGCTGCTTAGCCAGCAACGGCTTTGGGGTTTATTCTGCAATTCAGTGGTTTTGTTCTCAGCTCAGTGTGCAAACAGCAGTAAAAGTATTGGCTTTTCCACCTATCTGCAAGGGGAGGGAGGGAAGATTCAAGCCCGTGGGAAGTGAAAGGGGGCATTGCTGAAAGGTAGCCAGAGCTGTGGACAGGCTTGGGTGGGTTCTTGTCAACCTAAGTAAAGGGACACTGTCCCTATGGAGGCCAGCGGGACAGACAGCAGGTAAAGTAGTCACTCTCTTTGCTTTCAGCCCTATTTATCATTCACCTGTCATATTTGTCTTTGACAAACACCCAGTCATATGAAAGCAATAAATCAATACTGAACTTGAAGCAAGCTGGCTCACGTTCCAAGAACCACTTCAGCCTTTACCGGGCTGGGTTTCCCTGATCCCTTAGTGCACCAGAGGCAACAGAAATTCACAGGCACATCTGCAGCCTTACACTCTTT